TAAAAGTGTAGAAAAAAATTGACAGCCCGATCCGAGTAGAGGAACACCAATTTTATGACCATTTTAGCGATTTTCGTCAAAAAAAAATTTTCAAAAAAATTCAATTTTTCTTAGGCGGACTATTTTATTTCAATTTCTTGCACAAAATACACCTAAAAGTGTAGAAAAAAATTGACAGCCCGATCCGAGTAGAGGAACACCAATTTTATGACCATTTTAGCGATTTTCGTCAAAAAAAAATTTTCAAAAAAATTCAATTTTTCTTAGGCACACTATTTTATTGCAATTTCTTGCACAAAATACACCTAAAAGTGTAGAAAAAAATTGACAGCCCGATCCGAGTAGAGGAACACCAATTTTATGACCATTTTAGCGATTTTCGTCAAAAAAAAATTTTCAAAAAAATTCAATTTTTCTTAGGCACACTATTTTATTGCAATTTCTTGCACAAAATACACCTAAAAGTGTAGAAAAAAATTGACAGCCCGATCCGAGTAGAGGAACACCAATTTTATGACCATTTTAGCGATTTTCGTCAAAAAAAAATTTTCAAAAAAATTCAATTTTTCTTAGGCGGACTATTTTATTTCAATTTCTTGCACAAAATACACCTAAAAGTGTAGAAAAAAATTGACAGCCCGATCCGAGTAGAGGAACACCAATTTTATGACCATTTTAGCGATTTTCGTCAAAAAAAAATTTTCAAAAAAATTCAATTTTTCTTAGGCGGACTATTTTATTTCAATTTCTTGCACAAAATACACCTAAAAGTGTAGAAAAAAATTGACAGCCCGATCCGAGTAGAGGAACACCAATTTTATGACCATTTTAGCGATTTTCGTCAAAAAAAAATTTTCAAAAAAATTCAATTTTTCTTAGGCACACTATTTTATTGCAATTTCTTGCACAAAATACACCTAAAAGTGTAGAAAAAAATTGACAGCCCGATCCGAGTAGAGGAACACCAATTTTATGACCATTTTAGCGATTTTCGTCAAAAAAAAATTTTCAAAAAAATTCAATTTTTCTTAGGCGGACTATTTTATTGCAATTTCTTGCACAAAATACACCTAAAAGTGTAGAAAAAAATTGACAGCCCGATCCGAGTAGAGGAACACCAATTTTATGACCATTTTAGCGATTTTCGTCAAAAAAAAATTTTCAAAAAAATTCAATTTTTCTTAGGCACACTATTTTATTGCAATTTCTTGCACAAAATACACCTAAAAGTGTAGAAAAAAATTGACAGCCCGATCCGAGTAGAGGAACACCAATTTTATGACCATTTTAGCGATTTTCGTCAAAAAAAAATTTTCAAAAAAATTCAATTTTTCTTAGGCGGACTATTTTATTTCAATTTCTTGCACAAAATACACCTAAAAGTGTAGAAAAAAATTGACAGCCCGATCCGAGTAGAGGAACACCAATTTTATGACCATTTTAGCGATTTTCGTCAAAAAAAAATTTTCAAAAAAATTCAATTTTTCTTAGGCGGACTATTTTATTTCAATTTCTTGCACAAAATACACCTAAAAGTGTAGAAAAAAATTGACAGCCCGATCCGAGTAGAGGAACACCAATTTTATGACCATTTTAGCGATTTTCGTCAAAAAAAAATTTTCAAAAAAATTCAATTTTTCTTAGGCGGACTATTTTATTTCAATTTCTTGCACAAAATACACCTAAAAGTGTAGAAAAAAATTGACAGCCCGATCCGAGTAGAGGAACACCAATTTTATGACCATTTTAGCGATTTTCGTCAAAAAAAAATTTTCAAAAAAATTCAATTTTTCTTAGGCACACTATTTTATTGCAATTTCTTGCACAAAATACACCTAAAAGTGTAGAAAAAAATTGACAGCCCGATCCGAGTAGAGGAACACCAATTTTATGACCATTTTAGCGATTTTCGTCAAAAAAAAATTTTCAAAAAAGTTCAATTTTTCTTAGGCGGACTATTTTATTTCAATTTCTTGCACAAAATACACCTAAAAGTGTAGAAAAAAATTGACAGCCCGATCCGAGTAGAGGAACACCAATTTTATGACCATTTTAGCGATTTTCGTCAAAAAAAAATTTTCAAAAAAATTCAATTTTTCTTAGGCACACTATTTTATTGCAATTCCTTGCACAAAATACACCTAAAAGTGTAGAAAAAAATTGACAGCCCGATCCGAGTAGAGGAACACCAATTTTATGACCATTAAAGCGATTTTCGTCGAAAAAAAATTTTCAAAAAAATTCAATTTTTCTTAGGCGGACTATTTTATTTCAATTTCTTGCACAAAATACACCTTAAAGTGTAGAAAAAATTTGACAGCCCGATCCGAGTAGAGGAACACCAATTTTATGACCATTTTAGCGATTTTCGTCAAAAAAAAATTTTCAAAAAAATTCAATTTTTCTTAGGCACACTATTTTATTGCAATTCCTTGCACAAAATACACCTAAAAGTGTAGAAAAAAATTGACAGCCCGATCCGAGTAGAGGAACACCAATTTTATGACCATTTTAGCGATTTTCGTCAAAAAAAAATTTTCAAAAAAATTCAATTTTTCTTAGGCGGACTATTTTATTTCAATTTCTTGCACAAAATACACCTAAAAGTGTAGAAAAAAATTGACAGCCCGATCCGAGTAGAGGAACACCAATTTTATGACCATTTTAGCGATTTTCGTCAAAAAAAAATTTTAAAAAAAATTCAATTTTTCTTAGGCGGACTATTTTATTTCAATTTCTTGCACAAAATACACCTAAAAGTGTAGAAAAAAATTGACAGCCCGATCCGAGTAGAGGAACACCAATTTTATGACCATTTTAGCGATTTTCGTCAAAAAAAAATTTTCAAAAAAATTCAATTTTTCTTAGGCGGACTATTTTATTTCAATTTCTTGCACAAAATACACCTAAAAGTGTAGAAAAAAATTGACAGCCCGATCCGAGTAGAGGAACACCAATTTTATGACCATTTTAGCGGTTTTCGTCAAAAAAAAATTTTCAAAAAAATTCAATTTTTCTTAGGCACACTATTTTATTGCAATTTCTTGCACAAAATACACCTAAAAGTGTAGAAAAAAATTGACAGCCCGATCCGAGTAGAGGAACACCAATTTTATGACCATTTTAGCGATTTTCGTCAAAAAAAAATTTTCAAAAAAATTCAATTTTTCTTAGGCGGACTATTTTATTTCAATTTCATGCACAAAATACACCTAAAAGTGTAGAAAAAAATTGACAGCCCGATCCGAGTAGAGGAACACCAATTTTATGACCATTTTAGCGGTTTTCGTCAAAAAAAAATTTTCAAAAAAATTCAATTTTTCTTAGGCACACTATTTTATTGCAATTTCTTGCACAAAATACACCTAAAAGTGTAGAAAAAAATTGACAGCCCGATCCGAGTAGAGGAACACCAATTTTATGACCATTTTAGCGATTTTCGTCAAAAAAAAATTTTCAAAAAAATTCAATTTTTCTTAGGCGGACTATTTTATTTCAATTTCATGCACAAAATACACCTAAAAGTGTAGAAAAAAATTGACAGCCCGATCCGAGTAGAGGAACACCAATTTTATGACCATTTTAGCGATTTTCGTCAAAAAAAAATTTTCAAAAAAATTCAATTTTTCTTAGGCACACTATTTTATTGCAATTTCTTGCACAAAATACACCTAAAAGTGTAGAAAAAAATTGACAGCCCGATCCGAGTAGAGGAACACCAATTTTATGACCATTTTAGCGATTTTCGTCAAAAAAAAATTTTCAAAAAAATTCAATTTTTCTTAGGCACACTATTTTATTGCAATTTCTTGCACAAAATACACCTAAAAGTGTAGAAAAAAATTGACAGCCCGATCCGAGTAGAGGAACACCAATTTTATGACCATTTTAGCGATTTTCGTCAAAAAAAAATTTTCAAAAAAATTCAATTTTTCTTAGGCACACTATTTTATTGCAATTCCTTGCACAAAATACACCTAAAAGTGTAGAAAAAAATTGACAGCCCGATCCGAGTAGAGGAACCCCAATTTTATCACCATTAAAGCGATTTTCGTCGAAAAAAAATTTTCAAAAAAATTCAATTTTTCTTAGGCGGACTATTTTATTTCAATTTCTTGCACAAAATACACCTTAAAGTGTAGAAAAAATTTGACAGCCCGATCCGAGTAGAGGAAACCCAATTTTATGACCATTTTAGCGATTTTCGTCAAAAATTACTCCATTAAATCTTTAGTAATACAATTGGGTAATTTACAGAAACTTTGACAGGGCTTTGACTAGTTTTTTCCTAGTTCGAATGTTTAGTCTAACTTTTGCTTATTATTATACAGTATATAAGTCATATTAAGTTGACAATTATAAAATATGATAATATAGAAAAACTCGTAACAGGGCTCTGAATAGTTTCTCTCTAGTTCGAGGGTTTAAATTAACTTTTCTATATTATTACACAATAAAACCCATATATAATAATGTTAGCGTGTTTTTGGTGTCTTCACAAGACATGTATCTACAAATATAAATTCTAGAATGGGACAAATTTCTGCCTGGCTTCTTCGTGATAATTGTAAATTGTTGAAACACGTCAATTGTCGCCTTGTTGTGTATAATAGAGTAGGGTTTGTCAACAAGTTCGACCACATCATTAAAGCCAAGTTGACCATATATATATATATTTCTCTGCTTTCTCCGTGCGGTTTCCTTTGAAGGGTAAAAAGAGAGATACACTGTCGCGTAACGTCTATTCAGTATATATATATACATTTTCCTAACAAAGTAGTGTCCATAACGTCTCTTCATATCCATTCTGTCCAGCTGAGCGGAAATTTGAAACTGTCTCAGGTAACAGAACACAAGACTTTGCCAAATGGAAAAATATTCCATTGGAAATAAGACAAGATAAAATCTCTTCTCAACCAGTGGTTGAAGAATATAACTTTCATTTGTATATGTTTCTTTTCAAAAAAATAATTTAATTTCGTAACATCATTTATCGACATTTTTTGATAAAAAAAAAATTTTCATTTACTTTTTTTTCGTTTTATAACTGGTTTCTAATTATTGTACAAAATTTGTTAACAAAAAAACTATTTTTTATTTGAGATTAAAATTGAAAAATAACAAAAAAAAAGCATTTTGTACTTTTTTTACAAGAACATTATTACATTCCTTTATTGCAAATTGCAAAAAAAAAAAAAACCACTGACTTAAAAATTAATCTGAATATATTTGGGAAGATTTTTCATATTCTGAATCTGTGAATAGTGAGAGTGTGGGGCTTGAGATATTCATGTCAAAATCCTCTCCGCTGGACAAAAAAGAATTCTTTGAAGAATCTGACCAACTGGTGAATGAGCTTTTACGTCTCGGCTATAAAAATGTCAAAATATTGGAGATTATAAAGTCAGAAAAATTTTTCCTTTTTTTTATAATTAACATAACCTCAAATTAAAAAGTTGGTTTTTTCACAATAAATAAAATTTTAATTTTAAAAGTATTTCAAAATAATTTTGCTAAAAAATTTGTTAAATAATAATTATTTCAATAATATTATTTAGAATTTATCACTCAGGAGGATTAAATAATAAACATGATGATATCGATCACTCCGAGTTAGAATTTAATTCTGACTCGGAGTGATCGATATCATCATGTTTATTATTTAATAATTATTTCAGATTTTATATTTTTTTTTTGTTTAAAGTTGGTGAACAATATTGTTATTTTGTATTTGCCTAGTAATAGTCTTTTTTAAGTTCAGTTTGAAAAAAATAATCAACAAAACGACTGCAGCGCCACCTGTACTAGTTACTTATAAAGCATTGAGTTTCGCCTCTACGTACAAACTTCTACATTATCAATGCTTTAAATCATTATTCGAGATTCTAAATATTTAGAAGAAATTGAAATAGAAATTAATTTATCAATTTATATATTATCATTTTTTTTAGTTTGAGGTTATGTTACGCGTGGGTCTAAACCAAAAAAAATACCTTTTCAATATTTCTGTAGCTAAAATCAAAATTTTCATCATGAACCAATAAATTATTTCCATTAATTTTTTCTCTCATTCTCATTTCAAATTGATACAATTCTTCACGTAAATTCTCAACAACTTCCTCAAGTTTACAATCCATTGCCTCATCGTTAGACCAAAAAATTTCATTATTAATATCAAAATATCGAAATCCCATTCTTGATTCAAATAAATTGTCATTTTTCCCCCTCAATCTTAAGGAATCATCATTTGTCGAACGATAGGAATTTTTTTCTATTCTTTGTTCGGTTAGAGAAAAATCCGTATGAATTCCCGAATCAATAGATTCGATTAAATTTCTTGTTGGTGAATTTTTTCCCTCATTTAATTCAAGATTTCTCCATTCAAAATTTTCACTATTTTCTCTCATTATTAAATTTAATTCGTTATTTATTAATAATTTCTCATCTTGTAATTTCATTGATTTTATTGCTTTTGGTATTAGTGATTTTTTTGGACTTTTTTTCATACGAAATGTTTTGGGTGATAAAATTTTTTCATTTTTTTCCAAATAGGTGGTAATTTTTTCATTTTTATGTAAAATTTTTTTTTCCATTATTATAGTTGATGAATTTTTTTCATTTAACATTATTCGTTGGGGTAATTTGGAAATTGGTGAATTTTGAATATTAAAATTTTCTGCAAAATCTTCGTCTATTCGTGTTTTTATATTTTTCAAAATATCTGATTCAATGGAATCATTTTGTGAATAATTAACAATTGATTCACATTTAAAATTATCTAATTTTCTTAATTCTGTTTCGCAAAAATTTAGCGAATCAATGGAAATTGTTTTAATTGGTGTAATTTTTTCTTCCGATGTAATTTGTTTTAATTTCTCCGATAGTGTGTCTTCACAAAAAATTATTGATTCATTCATTGTTGAAGATTTTGTTTTTTGGGGTATTTTAGATTTTTTTTTAATTTTTGAATTTTCAATTATTTTTGTTTTATTACAAATTATTGTTTCGTCAAAATTTTCGTGATTTTTCAAATTTTCTGAATTTTTGGAATATTCAAAATTTTGTAATTTTTCACAATTTTTGTTACTATTTTTCACATTTTGAGAATTATTGTTATTTTTGTGATTTCTCGATTTTTTGAAATCAAAATTACTCGAATTTACGAAATTTTTTTCTTTTTCACAATTTTTGAAATTAGTATTCATATTTTCAAAATTACTGAAATTTTCCCGACTTTTTGAATTCTTGGAACATTTAATTTTACTCAAATTTTCAAAATTTTGTGATTTTTTACAATTTTCGAAATTATTTTTTAAATTTTCAATACTTTTGTCATTTTTGCGACGTCTAGAATTTTTGGAATTTTCAAAATTACCCAAATTTTCAAAATTATTGACATTTTCCTGAATTTTCGAATTTTTCTTATCATCTAAATTGACAAAATTTGGCGAATTTTCATCATTTTTCCAATTTTTGGAATTTCGCAAATTTTCATTTTTTTCCAAATTATTTGAATTCATTAAATTTCCAAAATTTTCACTACTATTAAAATTCTTCAAATTTCTTCTATTTTGAAAATTTTCTCCACATTCAAAAGTTGAATTTTTTTTTAAATTTTCCCCTTTTTTGACATTTTTTTGATAAAATTTCCATTTTTTTCCATTTTCCCAATTTTTTCTCTCATCATCGAAGCTCAATTTGTCATTATCCGTAAATTTTGCAAATTTTCCATCAATTAATTTTTGAAAAGAATTTTGTGAATTTTCACTTTTTACACTCACATTAACATTATTATTATTATTATTATTATTATTGATTCGTATTTTTTTCTTTCTTCGTTGTCGACAAATTTTACGTGAATTACGACCAATTTCATGAAATGAATGTGTAACATGAATTTTAGTTTCAGAAAATGATTTCATCAATTTAATTGTATTTGTTGGTGAAATTTTTGAATGTAAAAAATTTTGTAATGATTGTGTTTTAATTGGTTTTGGATTATTAAAAAATTCAAGCCAAAATTTATTTTTAATTGTTTCTTGAATTTTTGTTTTTTCATTTTTAACATTGACAATGTTTGTTTTTGATAAATTATATTTTAAACCAATTGAATTAATTGTTGGTTCCTCGGGACCAAAACGTGAGAAATTTTTGAAAAATAATTGTTGTTCCCTAACGTTGGGACGATTAGTGAAAAAAATTGGTTTCCAATTTGGTAAATTACAAATTACTGGTACAATATTTTCGGGTTCTTGAAAATCTTGTTTTATACGATTTATTAATTTACTCACAAGATTTGTTGATTTAAAATTTGTTTTCTCGCCAATTATTTCGTCACTCGTTGATAATTTTAGATTTTTTCGTTTTCTGCAAAAATTTTCCTTTTCAATTTTTTTTTTTCATTTATATTTTTTAATTTTACTTTTAAATTAAAATAAATTCTTTAAAAATATACTAAAAAGTTTAATTAATATTTTTTAATTTTTTTTAAAATGAGTATTTGAAAATTATTTAATCTCTAGGGTCGAAAATAGTTATTTTTATTCCTTGAGTTTAAAATTGGCATTTTTCTCCCTTGGGTTAAAAATTTACTTTGTATTAAAAAAAAATAAATAAAATTTTTAATTCGGAAAAAAAAAATTTTTGAAAATAATTTCTTTTTCTTAAATTTTGAAAAATAATTACCTACCGATTTCGATTTTTAAAATTTCCCTTACGTAGTAAATCCAATTGAAAATCCTCGAGTAAATTTGTCTCATTCATTCCAAAGCATAAATTATTTAATTCGCGTAAAGATGATTTTTTACCAATAATCAAATCATTATCATGACATCCAATTATCATTGATTTTGAAATAAATTTTGTCTCACGATTTAAATTATTATTGTCCATATCAAAAATAATAATTTCATTCGTGTCGACATTTGATTTGAAAATAATATATCCACTTAATAATTATTGATTTAATGAAATTAGTTTCCAATAAATTTTCTATTGAAAAATTTTTTTTTTTTCCCCTCTTCTTTTTATTGATATTTTTGATGGATCACTTGAGATCAAACTCGAATAAGAAGACATTTATCTGATGAGATTATATTTATTATATTTTTTTTTTCTTTTGAGTAGAAAATTATTATGTTATCATTATATAATTATATATGTTTTTGTGTGACATTGATATTAAGATTAGCGATTTAAAGGTTAAGGTGAAAACCTGAAGGTTAAGATGAATGATTAAAGATCTCCATATGCGTGAAAAGGTTTTTTTTTTTATGCACACACTCACGTCTCTCACGATAAATGTAAAATCGATTTTAAAATATAATCATTTGAAAAATTATAGTTTCTTCATTTAACGTAATTTTCTTATTTAGTTTTTTCAAATTTTTTTTTTTTGTTTTTTGCTTTTATTTTTCTTGGACGTACAATTTTTCTGTGTTTACGTTTATTATTTTTTCTCTTTAACCTAATGATGAAAATTTACATTCTCGTTATGAATGCGGTTATGAAAATAGGGTTTTAGTTGCAACTTCATGTCATTTATATGCTTTTCGAATCAATTGTTAATTATTTTATTATTTTTAAATATTATTAAATAAATATTTGTATTAAATATAATAATTATTATTTGAGCTCATATTTGTTTTAAATACAGAAATTATTGTTTCAAATAAAAATTATCTAGTTCAAGTAAATGTTTATTTGGTTCAAATAAATATTTATTTGATTCAAGTAAATATTTATTTGGTTCTAGTAAATATTTATTTGATTAAAGTAAACATTTATTTGATTCAAGTAAATATTTATTTGGTTCCAGTAAATATTAATTTGATTAAAGTAAACATTTATTTGATTCAAGTAAATATTTATTTGGTTCCAGTAAATATTTATTTGATTAAAGTAAACATTCCCTTGATTCGAGTAAACATTTATTTGATTCAAGTAAACGTTTCCTTGATTCGCGTAAACATTTATTTGATTCAAGTAAATATTTATTTGGTTCAAGTAAATATTTATTTGGTTCCAGTAAATATTTATTTGATTAAAGTAAACATTTATTTGATTCAAGTAAATATTTATTTGGTTCCAGTAAATATTTATTTGATTAAAGTAAACATTCCCTTGATTCGAGTAAACATTTATTTGATTCAAGTAAACGTTTCCTTGATTCGCGTAAACATTTATTTGATTCAAGTAAATATTTATTTGGTTCTAGTAAATATTTATTTGATTAAAGTAAACATTTATTTGATTCAAGTAAATATTTATTTGGTTCCAGTAAATATTTATTTGATTAAAGTAAACATTCCCTTGATTCGAGTAAACATTTATTTGATTCAAGAAAATATTTATTTATTTGATAATAGTCAAGTAACCAATTATTTTGAATGAAAATAAATTATTTTTCACTGTAAATAGAAAAATTTTGACATCTTATATGAAATAAAATTTCTATAACCATTAGAAATTTCAACTTATAATAAATTGAGGGGAATATTAATACATTTCCCCATAAAAAGGTCGATCTGTATTAGTATGTCGCTAATAGGTACAAAGTCTGTGGATATCGTTATTAAATGTCTCAGTTAACTACCTTGGCTATGTGATGAGAAATTCCATTGCGCGTGATTGACCCTTAAATGTGTGTCTAGCTGGCGATCGTTCATAGAGTCTCTCTCTCTCACTCTCTCTCTCGGATATCTATAAATTTGTCTCGACTCTGATGAACTGCTCGAAATAGGGCGCTTGAGAATTTAGAAAATTTCATTCCTTATACAAGAAATTTAATGATTATTATTGTATCGCTATATTTATGTCCCTATATATATATATATATATTATAAATGTTCCTATACATAAGGGTCAAAGATTTTCGAATTTTTACACGGTTCCCATGTCTATTCAAAGAGCCTAAAGAATACAAAAAATTTAAATACCCTCATATGATAGTTATGATATAATAATAAAAAAAAAGGTATACATTTTTTTTTATATTGTTAAAATAAATATATGTTAATCCATTTATTTCTTTTTAAATTAATTATATATTATAAATCTACTCTAATAATTCTTGTATTTTTTTTTTTTTGACTGATTCTCTCTGACCACCCGCTGAGTTTGTCTCAACGATGAAGAAAACTTGTAACAATAGATAGAAAGAAATCCATTGATATAACGCCATATTAAATTTTTTTTTAAATATATTTTTTTACTTTAATTATTTTGAAACACTTGGGAAACATTTAAAAAAATTTTGTTTTGTGTCGAAAAAAAATAGAAGAGGAAGTTACATTAATTTCTCTCGCCGCTCTCTTTCTTTCGTTTCTCTCTCTCGCTCTCTCTCTCTCTCTCTCTCTCTCTCTCTCTCTCTCTCTCTCTCTCTCTCTCTCTCTCTCTCTCTCTCTCTCTCTCTCTCTCTCTCTCTCGTTGAGAGTCACTTGTTGCATTCCTATGGCTCGAAATTAGCGAGTTGCCTCGGATTTCAAGGCACTCGAAATGTATGTACATAACACGCAAAAACAGCCCGCTTTTTCATCAAGTTGCGACAACTATTCATCGATCGAACTTGCAACGAGGTATTTACGTGTCTAACAATAAGCAATTCATTCTTTTCATATTACGTTTACATATATATACATATATACTATATCTCAAGACAAATATCTTGATTCGCAAAAAATAATCACCCTTTATTTATATAATAATACTATAATACTGTTAAAAGGATTTTTTTTTAAATTTATATATATATTTATATGATTTTCCACTTTAAGGGTTAATTTTTAAAGGCTTATATGAAAATTATTAAAATTTTACCTAAACTCTGAGATTATGTTCGTTTCTTGGTTAAGGGAAT